TTGTTGAGCTCCATTCTGGATGTTCTGTCCTTCACTAAAAGTGGTGTGTTGAAGTCTCCAACCACTATTGTGAAGTGCTTGACTCTTGGAGTTGTTGAAGCCATTAAGCTACCAGCCTTAGGATGGAAGGTGATGTTGTGAATGGCAGAAGAAAGATGAAGAAAAGCTGAGTCCTTGTTTCCATCAAAAAGTCCATCAAGCCTGCCTGTTTTAAGCTAGATTCTCTAGAGAAGCAAAACCAGTGAAGCATATATATAGAGGGAGAGAGAGAGAGAAAGAGAGAAAGAGAGATTTATATGAAGGAAATGGCTCATCCGGTTGTAGAGGCTGGAAAGTCCCAGTCTGTGTGTCAGGCATCAGGCTGGAGGCTTCTCCTGATTCATGTAGCTTCAGGGGCTGATGAACCCAAGGTCGGCAGGTCAGATGGCAGGCTGCTGGCTCAAGTCCCAAGAATCAAAGGTCAGATGATGAGCCGGATGCAGGATCCAGAGCGAGCAAAAGCTAGTGAGCTTTGCCAGAAAGTCCATATATATTGCATGTAGGCCACACCCCCAAAGAAACTCTCTTTCAGCAGACTGGCTGCCCATAGCAGATCTCTTCACGGAGGTGATTACATCATTACATAACTGCCAAACCACTGAGAATCATGGCCTAGCCAAGTTGACACACAGCCTTAACCACTCTACCTCAGTACTTCCAAACTGTGGATAATAAATGTTCTTATGAAGTTAGTTTTAGTTGAATTCCTTATTAACACAAAAATGGAACAATCCTAAATATTGTGTATGCTCAGGCACAAAATAACTCTTCTAACTCTTCAGTGAGTAATAATTCCTGACTTTTGTCTATCAGTGAACACCTACCTCTTCAAACCAGTGGCAGAACTCATGTTTCCAGGTGAAAGCAAAACTGTACATTCTGAACACCTTGCCTAACAATTGCTAGAAGTATGATAACTGTTGGTTGGCTTCCCTCCAGATTGAAAAGAAAAGCGTCAGGTAGAACCCAGATCCTTACCTATGGGGTCTTGAGGCACATTAAATACTTGAGCTCATAGATAAGGCTAGTTTCACTTTAGGGAATCGTTGTGTGAAAGTACACCCTTGTGAAACATCCAGAATGTAAAGATATTAGAGTTTATGTGTTTTCAATTCAGGAAACTGTATTGAGGTTGATAAATTCATATATCAGCAGTCAGAAAGGATTTATTAACTTTCTCCAGGTTCACTAAGCAATACAGGTGTAGAAAGAGGTGGATTAAAAAAAAAGTTGTCAGATTGACTCCGACTCATGGTGACTTCATGTGTGTCAGAGTAGAACTGTGCTCCATAGAGTTTTCAATGGCTGATTTTTCAGAAGTAGATCACCAGTTCTTTCTTACAAGGATAGTTGGGATTTATCAAGAGCTGGGTGTTGTGAAAATGACAGCGGAGCCAAGCAGTAAAGGATAAGGTAGGAAGCCACGATGAACCATTAGGGAAGGAAGTAAAGGTTGGAGGAGGCTGATGATACACAGGGAGAAGGGGGTAAGGGACAGGGGGTCTAACAACACTTGAGCTTAAGTTTCTTTATGATGAATAAAGTACTTTGCTACATGCCATAAGGAACAGAAAAGCTGATGAAGGTAGTGATGATCATGATGGCTTTTAATGATAGCTAGCCCTATAGGGGTATAGAGGTAGCATAGTGGTTACAGATGCCAGCCTAAGATTCAAATGGCAGAGGTTTGAATCTTAGTTCCTCTGCAGACCAACTCAGTAGCCTTGGCCAAGTTACTTAACCCCATCGGTGCCTCAGCTTCCTTATGTGTAAAATGGAGAAAACAACAGTACCTACCCCATAAGTTTGTTTTGAAGATAAAATAAGTTTATACATGTGAAGCCCTTAGAGAAGTACCTGGCACACAGGAAGCACCCAATAAATGTTAATGTTAATAATTACTATTACAAATAGTAAAAAGCTCGGGCGTTCCTGTCAAACAGACTGCAGTTTGAATGATACAGAGTCCTAGTTTCTTCTTCCTTTATGCTACCTGTCCCTCAATACTAGAGAACGAAGGAATTACTTCCTATCTGGGGACATGGGGTAAGGGTTAAGGGTATCAGAAAGACTTGAAAGAGGCCAGTGGCATTTGAGCTGAGTGTAAAAGGAGAAACATGTTATCCATAGGCAAAGAAAGAACGTTGCAGATTATGAGAACGGTGTGGCGAAAAGTACAGAAGTAGAAAAGAGCACGGTATAGTTGGGAAACAGTAGATAGTTCAGTATGGCTTGAGTATAGGTAAGGTGGAGCAGGGCCTTGACTAGGGTGGGGCACCTGAGAGTGAGTGCCTCCTTAAATTTTGCCCTTATCTCATTCTAGTCAGGGTCCTGACTTGGAGGAATGTGTTGGAAGATGGAGATGGAGAGATGGAATTGTGCTGAAGGGTGCAGGTCTTGAAAGACAAGATGGCTAAGACGCTCGCGATTGGCTGAGGGACTGTTTACCAACAAATGCTGTACTGTCGGTGGCCTGAGAAATTAGTTTTCACGCTAGTGCAGCGATGGACAGACACCAGCCCATCTACCTTCCCAGAATAACATCCCGCCACTGCTCCCACATCAGTCTGTCAAACGTCAGGTGTACGTATGTCCTTCCTGTCCCTTTCCTGTGCAAGTAAACACACCTCTATGCCCACCTGACAGCCTGGTCACATGACCTACGGTGAGGGGGGGGGCCGCGCCACGTGACCACGCAATCAGCTTGTCTGCGGCAGCCCTGCTGCATGGATCGCAGAATCTTCTGCTTCTGGGATGGAGCTGGTGCATTCTGCTTGCTAGAGGAACGTGAAGCTTTGGACCCCGGTGGAGACAGGGCTGGTAAGAAGGCTGGATTTGGAGCCAACGCTTCCAGCCACTGGCCTGTGCCTTGCTCTGTAGGGGACACAGGGCTGGCAAGGAACACTCAGTGAAGATTTTGGAGATTAACTGATTTTTAATATTTTGTATAATACTCCAGTGACATATTAAAACCCACATACACTCAGGGTTGGTCTTGAAAAATAATTGATAAGCATAACATTCAAACTCCAATTTCCAACGCCAGGATGATCCCTGTTAACATTTATGGTTTATGAAGGGAAGTAAAACTGCCACTTTCTCTACTTCATTACCTTCACATACTAGAGTCAGTTGGAAAATACTTTTCACTGTCAAAAAAATATCCAAAACTTGGATAAAGACAACATAGGTTACTAGCTATTATTGCAGTGCAGTGCTGGGCTTCACTTACTATTGACTGGGCTATTTTCCAACTCTGCAGAGCCTAATGTTAACTTACATATTGTCCAGCAGATATGCAAATGTTTCTGTCCAGTGAAGTTAACCTCAAAGGTTAGAGTTTATTGCCCTGTAAGATATTAACCAGTATTGTATTTAACCCAGCAATGTTATCCTAACACTTATTAACTTGCCTATGAGTGTATGGAATTTAATACACATGTATTTTGTTTATATATTTATATTGTGTATAATGTACACATACACTTACCTCCTTAAACCATTTTCATAATCTTAGCAATTGTTCATTAATGTGTTGGATAAAGTTTTCACATGTTCATTTTTAATATTCATGAGTTATAATTTTACCTTTAAAAAATTAACAGTGCAGCACCCTCAAAAAAATATTTTCACCATGTCTGAAAATAATAAAACCTTTGGTATTTCCCCAAAATTCGGATTCCCTTCCAAACCAACTCTATCCCTGACTTCTGCAATTCTCTTTTCTGAAGGTATGCTACAATCTTTTTAATCATTGTAAAATACACATAAAATTTATCATTTAACTATTTTAAAAGTGTACAATTCAGGGGCATGAAGTACATTCACAGTGTTGTACAACTATCACCAGTATCTAGTTCTGAACTTTTTCATCACCCCAAAAGGAAATGTTATGATCTTTTTAATGTAATAAAAAACCAAAACCAAACCCGATGCCGTTGAGTCGATTCCGACCATTTTTGTACAGCGAGACGTTAATATAAAATTGGCAAGCTTGGCATTTTTTTTCCTTGAAAACATTTCATTTAAAAAACCAGTTTTTCTCAAGTCTCATTCCCTTCCAACTTCTCAAAATGCTTTTACATGAAAGAATTCTTAACAGTGTTCATTTACATAACTGTCCTTTCCAACATGCCCACCTCTAACTTGAGGCACTAGATGTAAACATTAAAAGGAAAAAAAGCCATCTTATTAATTTCTGTATATCTCCAATGCCTGTCTGAGACTTCTTTTAACATAGTATATTTTATTTCAGACAAATCAAATCCTATAAAGTTGCATAGAAATTGTGTTTACTCACACATTTTAAAAATGGGATCCAATTTTCCATAGATGACATCACATTGTGTATTTCACCAAACATTAAAAGCATCAAGGTTATTTTGTCACTAACCAGATCTATACATTATCATTTTCCGGGGCTGCGTGGCATTCCCTTAGCTTTCCTTAGACTAGGATCACAAAAGAAATCCTATTCCTGACTCCATTTAATTAGTGTGCTATCCTACTCTTTCACCCTTTAGGTGGCATTGTAGCAACACTTGTACTTTGTAAAATGTGCAGTTTGGTCTACTTGACTCTCCAAAACTGGCCTCATCCCAACTTTCCAACTGCATCCCTCAGTGAACTCTGCTCACCTATTCCAGGTGGACTGGGTACACCTCTGCTACTAGAACAGATTTTCCAATTCTGTGCCTTTTTTCACACCAGCACTGCCAACTACCAGGAATAACCTAACGACTCATCTCATCCCACCCCTCAGTGACCAGTTTAATTGAGTTCCTTTTCTTTGAAGCATTTTCCGAGTACTGTAGCCCAGGGTAATCTCTGCCTTCTTGTTTGGAGTATGAGATTTTCCAATGAGCATATGTTTGTCATACTACTAATTATATGTTTGTATATGTGCACAATGTCTCTTGACTTGGTTTTTAAGCTGAAGAAGGTGGCTCATTTCTGCTGGTTTTAACATAGAATTTTATTGAAAACACAACCAGACTCAAATAGAGAATCATGTATTAAAACGACAGAGAAGGGTAGCTTACTTAGGTGACACAGATCACTGGAGGCTCAATACTAAAAAATATTGCAATCTGGACAGCAAGACAACAATTGACAAACGCGTTTTCAGTTTTAATATTCATTTGGCATCCGTGAAATGATCCAGCTCAAACCAAGAGTTGTACGAAGTTAACATCAGCATTAAAAATATAAGTTACAACATCAAACCAGACTGCAAAAAACAAAGCACTACTCAGGGTTCTTTGGGAACATAAGGCTGATCAGAGGCAGATGGTTAACTGTACTAACTTCGTTTTCCCACCTTACGACCTTTTCGATTGTTTATTTGGACTTGTAATTCATTAGCTAATGCCTCAAATTCATGGAATGCAGAAACAAGTGGTTCAAGACTGAACTCATCATCAATTGAGGACATTATTCCCTTTTTTATATTAGTACTGATATTCTGAAACATTTTAATAACTATTTTAATATTCTCATCTGTCTCTTTTACGTTAAAGAGACCTACAAATATTGATAGAGCTTTGGCACTGAATACATTTTTTGCCATATTAGGATTTTCAGACAAATTCAGTAACACTTTCAGAATGTGAAATCTCGTTCTCCTATTACCTGTAGCTAACAAGGTAAGAAATCCTGATATGTAATTGGCAACCAGTGTGTGATAGTCAATAGTAGTAGTGAGGTCTCTAACTATCTTTATTCCAGACAGCTGCTCAGGGGAATCCAAGTTACGAACAAGGGTCTCCTCACAAACTTGACATATGAAAGTCTCAATCATGTTTTGATTTGGGTGAGGTGGAGCCATATGAATCAGGTTTTCCAAAAACCTTGTCCTATCTCGAGAGGAGGGATAATCGAGCAAGGTTTCAATAAGTGAGACAACACCTGAGTCTCGAATGAAATCTCGGGTAAACTGAGCAGCACTTTTCGTACCCATTGCAATTTTGGATATTTCTTGAATAAAAGGATCCTGAATTTTGTCCATTAATAAAAGGAGTTCTTCAAACTCTTCAGAACCAATCCTAAGCTCACACTGTACACACTTGCACAACCAACTCCCAGGATCTGCACTCTCCTTGGCCTTAAGATGCTGTCGAATTTCCTTGACTGACAGGTAGGAAGGCTCATACTGAAATGGGAACCTAGGGTCAGGCTCATCCTGATTAGGTTGAAGCAAAGATTCCTGCTCTTCCCCTTCTGGGCTCAGTTCCACTTGCTTGAGGTTTCCCTCAATCATTTCAGAGAATTCAGATATTGCTTCTTCAGGAATTCTAAAGGGGCTTATGGATGGGAAGCCAAGCCCATGACAAGAAACAGGTTTAAATTCAACAGTGACCTCTTCCCAGCTTTGAGGCCTGGATGATACATTAATTTCCTGCTCAGCCAAACCACTGAACTGGCAACTGGCCTTGTACACAGGGCTGGGATTTAGGTCAAAGCAGGCCTCATCTCTGTCCCAAAACCAGGACCCAAATATGGCCTCTTCTTCAGACTCTGGCCTAGCCTCTTCCCTGGTCCCAGCCCCCACACTGGCCTCATCCTCAGTCCAGAACAAAGATCCCAAAATGGCCCCCTCCTTAGCCCCTGGCATGGATTCATAGCTGGCCACAGCTCCAGCCTCCATACTGGCCTCTTTTTCTGCCCAGAACCAGGAACCAATAATGACCTCCTCCTCAGACCTCGGCTCTTGTTTGACCCTATCCCTGTTATTAGCATCTTTCTGGGTCCTGGGCTTCGAGCTAGTATTAGATTCTTTCTTGTCTCTTGGCCTGAATCTACTATGGGCCTCTTCAGGCAAAAACCAGGATTCCTTATAGAATTCATCTTCAGACCCAGATTCAAAACAGTCCTCTCTCTTTGTCCTAAGCTTGGACCTGATATTTGCCTCCTCCCTGGCTCTGGGCCTAGACAAGGTATTGGTATTTTCTCCAGCCCAGAGGCTGTAAAGATTGCCAGCCTCATCCTCAGACCCAGACCTAGAATCAATACAGGGTCCTTGCTTCATCCTGGGCCTGGACCGGGTATTGGTCTGTTGTTTAGCCCTGTGCCTGGACCTGGAATTGGCCTCATCCTTGGGCCATGATCTGATACTGGTCTCTTCCCCTGCCCAAAAAGGAGACACTGTAGAGGTCTCATCTGCTGACCAGAATCCAGACTCATCCGAGGCCTCCTGTTTGGCCCTGGGCCTGGGATAGCACCAAGACCCCATATTATTCTCCTCCCCTGATCCAAACCAGGGCTGGATTCCGGCTTGTACATTTGTGACAGATAAGGCCTCATCCTCCACATCAACCAGTTCCCTATCCATAGACAAAGCCTTAGTCTTAGCGACTGGCCTAGACTCAGTACTGACCAGTGGCCAGGCCACGGCATTAGTCTGGGTCACTTCCTCTGTCTCGGATGTTGCCTCAGCCCCAAATTCAGTCTGGGCCCATGCCTGGGCTTCGTCCTTGGGCCTTGCCCCAGCCACTGCCTTGGACTCAGTCCTAGGCCGTGCCCCAGCCATTGCCAGGGCCTCAGTTTTGGGCCGTGCCCCAGCTATCGCTCCGACTTCTGTTTTGGGCCGTGCCCCAGCTATTGCCACGGTCTCAGTTTTGGGCCGTGCTCCAGCCATTGCCTTGGCCTCAGTTTTGGGCCGTGCCCCAGCCATTGCCTTGGCCTCAGTTTTGGGTCGTGCCCCAGCCATCGCCTTGGCCTCAGTTTTGGGCCGTGCCCCAGCTACTGCCATGGCCTCCGTTTTGGGTCGTGCCCCAGACATTGCCTGGGCCTCACTTTTGGGCCGTGCTCCAGTCATTGCTTTGGCCTCAGTTTTGGGCTGTGCTCCAGTCATCACCTGGGCCTGGGTTCTAACTTTGGGTCTGACCACCAGAGGAACTTTGGTCTCCCTCTCAACCCCACCCCCAACCTCTTCACCAGCCTTCTTTTCAGACTTGGCCCGGGTGCAAGGCTCAATCTCAGCCCCAGTCATGGTCCCAGTTACACAGGAGGCCCACTTATATACCCCTACCCAGTCTCAGCCTCAACCACAGATCTGTCACAGGTTTGTATCTTCACACTCTAGTCTTTGGGTGATTCAGGCTATAAAGTTGGAAGCAAGAGTTAAAATCAGTTTGCAGTCCAGTAGTCAATCAGCCTCCTTCGCAAGTACAGCCTCTGCCAATAATATGAAATGCAGAGGAGGCACAACCAAGCTGGGGCAAGATGGAGGTTCCTGGGTGGCTGCAGACCTGTTACGGTGGTGATCAGCAGCAACTCCAACACCACAGAGATGCCAATGGAAGTGGATCTAGGGAGAGACGAAGGAAATGGGCCTTTGAGTCTCTTCCAATTGCGCTACCCCATGCAGACACTTGCACAGGGAGACTGGACCTTGAATGTTTGGTGGGACATCTGGGCTATTAGAAACAGTCTCTCTGTCCCCTTGTTTCACCCATGCTCCTTACCCCCGGAGCTGCCACACAACTTTCCTTGCTATAAAACAGGTGAGGAGCTGGTAGAAAGTGGAATATCAATAAGAGGGGCTGAGGAGCCCCTGGACTGGACCCTAACCATTAAGGGACCCATCCCAGAACTCTACCCGCTCCCATACCAACCTGCACCGATGTGGCTTGTGCGAGTTCCCCCTCCTTTGGTTTGGTTGGTTTCCTTGCTTTCAGTGGTGTCAAGCCCTACAGAAGACGTGTTGGTAGTCCTGTGCACAAGTAAACAAACAGGAAAGAATGGAGCCTGCGAGCTTGGTAGACATGCACACACCGTGGCCCCTGATGCAAATACCTCCCTTTCCATTCAAGGGTCCAATTTGTCTAATGTGTCCCATCTCCTGGTCCCTGTTCTTAGGTCTCCTCCTCCCAGTTACAGCCCCAATATTCCTAATATTACCTAAATGGATGCTGTGACAGTATGGAAATCTGGCAGAGAGTAGAAAAGGTGGAGGAGACCTTACATCCACTTGGAGCATGATCATATTTTCTAGCTGTTCCCAGGCACTGCCTCCCACTGCACACCAACCTCCAGAGATTTGAGGCAGTATCCTTCTCCTTTCCTTCCTTGCAGAACTAACCAGCTCTAAAGCAGGCCTATGGACAAACAGATGAAAAATTAAGACAGTCAGGAGACAATGATAGCAAATGAGTGCTTGATGGACAAACCACCACCAAAGAGAGGAATCCCAATATTATCTGCCTTTCGACATTTAGGATTCTGTTGGTGAAATATTTTCCAGTTTTTGTTTAGGATCTCTGTGTCAAGGCTCCAGAGACAACAAACCCCTTCTCTTTATCTTACTCTCTCTCCATTACTCCCTTCACCAATTCTGAGAATACACCACTAGATGGACCACACCTCCCTGCCCAGGAGGACATATGTTGGGGGAAGGGCATCCGCATATGCTGAAAAGCAAGTTGGGAAGTAGTACCTGTAACTGTAACTCCTTAGTCCATCCCACCACCAAAGCCCATCTTTTCCTACCACAAATATGGCAGAAACGTAGCGGGCGCGGGGGGGGGGGAGCGGGAGGGAGAAAGGGAGAAGTGCCTGGAACTCTGGTAGCAAGCGGAAAATTAGGAGGTGCACTGGGTTCCAGAACCTTCTCTGGTGGCAGTTACCCCACCCCAAATCAGGATCTCCAGTCAGTACCTGCCTCCCACCCTCACATTCCCCACACACCTCCAGAAATCCAGAGCACTTTGTTGCTCCTTTTTCTCAAGCCTCTCCTCTGCAGATGCACACTGCGGCCTGGTGGAATCCGAGATACCTACTGCGCAGACAGGAGGCTTTCGCATCAACAGGGGCCCAAGGGAAAGGGCAGCACCCAGAACGCGGGGCCCAACAGGCCCCGGAGCAGCAAACGCGCCCCCCGCCCCTGCCGGTCCCCACCCCCTCTCCTGGCGGCCCCCTGGCGCCCTCATCCCCAGTTCCGCGCCCCTCCGCCATTTCTCCCGCACAGCCCTCGGCCAGCACAGACACGGGGCAGGCGGGGCGAGGGCGCTGGAAAGCTGGCCAGGAAGTGGCTGGCGCGGTTCCTTCCCAGAGGAGGTGAGGTGCCTCTGGGGCCACCCCTCGGCGGCCCGTGGCCCGGCCCGCGCCGGTCTCCGCCTCCTCATCGCCAGGGCTCGCGGGCGCTGCGCACCTCTCTCAGGGACCCGCGCGGCCAGGTCTCCTCCTCCTTTCCAGGCTGCCAGGGCCTGACGAGCAGGCGGTCAGACGGTCGCCGGTGGTGGGACCCCTCCCCCCCGGCGCCCACCCCCCCCGCTGCCTTCACAGGCCCGAGCCCCGGTCGTCGTCTTACCCTCCTCTCGCAGCTCCTCACTCGGATCCCCACCGCCGTCCGTGCGGTCAGACAGCAATGAGACGCCGCCGCCCCCGCGCTGCTGCACCAAAGCGGGCAGGGGCTGCGCAGGAGTGCGGCACGAAGCGCGGGCGGCGGTGGCGACGGGAGGGGGGCGGAGGGATACGGCGGCGCGAATGGGCTCGACGCCCCCTGCCAGGCCCACCGCAATTCTGAGCCAGAGGTGGGCGGGGCCGGAATGAGCCCCAGCCTGGAGAGGCGCCTTCGCATCAGTTTACCCCCGTCTATGCGGCCCTTATGTGGCGACCACCATCACATTTATGGCGCTGGATATTAAGGGGAGAAGGGGCGGGTGGGGGGCGGGGGACAGGAGGTCGGGAAGAGCCGCGGATGAACACCAAAGCGCCCCTTGGACAGCGTTGCCAGCTGCCTGCTAAGTAGCTCCCCCCTCCCGTGGCTGAAGAGTTATGGCTGTGCTTGAGGGTGCATTAGCCGGGAATGGAACCTAGATCTCCCACATGGAAGGTGAGAATTCTACCACTGAAACACTTTACCTTCTTTTAAAAGGGACTTCAGCCCAACAGATTGCAGTAGTCAAGGTTCCACTCTCCAGTGCCACCACTAGCAACTGTGTAATCTTGACTTGGCCCTGAAATCGAAATTTCAGAACCAAATCGGAGTCCACACCCACAAGTGTTAAGCCCAGGATACAGAAACAGCTGTGTTGATTCAACATTCTCTACCCTTCTCCCTCCCCACAGCCCCACTTCACCGCCCACATAAATACACATGAACTTAAGAAATAGCATACCCCTTGCCTGTGCAGCTCATAGTCTCCTCCTCAATCAAGGTAAACAAGGACCTGTTTTCGGCCACTGATCTTAACTTGGCTCTCTTCTGTCTTACATTTGCCTCAGGTAAACGGTCTTTATGGGACCTCCCTTTTTGTTCACGGTTGAACCAAAACACGGGCATTCTTAGAACCTATCCCCTCTCCCATCTCTGAGTTTCAGGAACTTTACACAGGAGGTAAAGTCGCTGCAGTCAGGACCAAGCAGGCTGGGGCTGGGGTGTGCAGAGGGATGAAGAAAGTGCACAAGGGAAGAGTGGGGGCATGGCCTGGGGAAGGCTGACAGTCTGAGCCCCAAGGGAGGATATTCTGCTGAATTTACCAAGGCCTTCTGCATAGCTAAGATCAGAAACGTGCTTGGTAGCATAGATCTGTCTCCCCCCAGGGGCTGACTTACATGCGCATACTCAGGATTCTACTGAGAAGGCAGATTTGAAGGCCTGTGTGGTAAGTCTTGCGCAGGTCCACTTGAGAGTGGGCAGGGAGCCTCCTTGAAAAGTACTCATGATTCATATTCTTGGGGGTGGGGGTGGGACATCATCCCTGGAGCATGTCTGGTGAAGTAACTAGTGAAATGGGCCTAAAGGACATCTACTTGGCAGCAGAGGCTGAGGAGCCTCCAGGAAGGAACTCAAGCTGTGTTCACTGTGTTCACTGCTTGAGTCAGGGCACATTGGGTGAACTGGTGTGGAGGTCTGATACCAGACTACTTTCAGGTCGTATGCGAGAGTGGTGAGATCTGCTGCAAGAATATTCATCCTGAGGGAAGACAGCCTGGAACAGTGAGCTCAGCTCAGAAATACAGCCTTGTCATTAGGGTAGTAGAGCTATTCTAACAGCAGCCGTGGAATCAGGACTCCTATCTATGCTTCTTCCAACATAACCCGCAACTGCATGTCTGTCATAGTAATGGCAGGGTTATAACTAAGTCCAGAAAGTGCTGTTTTATAATAAAGTCTGTAACACTGGGTTGCATATCCCAATAATAAAGTATAACCTAAAGGAGCAAAACACCTTCCTCTCCAACATGGCTTTGGAGTTTAGACTCATACTCAACTCTGACATCATGAGGACGCAGGGTATGGAGAGTGGTTGGGAAAATTAGAGAGCAGTTGGAGGGCCTGAAGTGCCTGGCAAAAAGCTTAGAATAGCAGCAACACCTGGACGAATTGTGTGAAAACGAATGATGTTCAGCACGTGGGAAATGCCCCTTGAGGATTTCTAGATCTATACCAAACCAAAAAAACCAAACCCGTTGCCATCGAGTCGATTCTAACTCATAGCGACCCTATAGGACAGAGTAGAACTGCCCCATAGGGTTTCCAAGGCTGTAATCTTTACGGAAGGAGACTGCCACATCTTTCTCCCGTGGAGCGGCTGGTGGGTTTGAACAGCTGACCTTTCAGTTTGCAGCCAAGCGCTTGACCACTGCGCCACCAGGGCTCCTTTCTAGGGGCTAGTAAAACCCATTGCTGGCACGTTGATATGCAGAGTAGAACTGCACTCCATAGTGTTTTCAAGGCTGTGACCTTTCAGAAGCAGGCCTTTCTTCCGGGGTGCCTCTGGGTGGGTTTGCACTGCCAACCTTTCGGTTAGTAGTAGAGCACTTAATGGGTTACGCCACCCAAGGACTCCACCAAAAAACCAACCAAACTTGTTGCTGTCGAGTCGATCCCAACTCATAATGACCCTATAGGACAGGGTAGAACTGGTCCATAGGGTTTCCAAGGATGGCTGGTGGATTTGAACTGCTGAACTTCAGAAGCTGGTAAAGGAAGGTAATTACTTTTTCAGGCAAAAGAAATCCTGAATTTCCACAATGCCAGCAAAT